TATTAAACCAGCAAAGGACCATCTTAAACCAGCAAAGGACCAGCATTTTTAAAGAGTGTAATACCACTTGATTATCACCTGAAATCTTGGGCATGTCAATTTGGGAAGACCACGGGATTATGTCAATATAAAACGTTTCGATGATATTTATAAATTTTAGTCCAAAACCAAAATGATAGTGTCTTAAAAATAACAGATGTCTAACCACATCAAACTTTGCAAGTACATGTCAACTTATTCTACTAACCCTAACCTAACAGTCTACTAATACTCTAATGAAGAGTTGACACGTAGTTGCAAACTTACTTAAAGTTAGTAGACTGTCGATAGTTGGGAAAATGGGAATAACATAATTCCTCTAAAAAGAAAAAGAAAATTAAATAAATAATAAAAATAAAAAGAGGTATATACTTCATGTATAATTGTAACATCTCTTTTGTAATACTGTCATCAACGCATTCATCACTTCATGATTTATTAAAATGATTTATAAAAATGGTGAAGTACCAGTCCAGAAGCCATGAGGAAATGGGAGGAAACATTTGCTTTTCTTAAGTAAAATACTTCTAGTTTCCATCTGAATGAAAACTGAAATCTGTGCATGTGACAAGCATGTTTAAGTACACAATTATTAATGACATTGAAAATGACCACATTGACATTTCTCCAGATTTTTAGCTGCTATGATCCATCCACGCTGCAGAACGTCGAGATTTAATCGCTGTTAAAGGTCTGAATCTCCAGATCAGACAAGATGTTCCTGCAACACGACAAAAAGACCCCAGAGGGCCAGATTATAATTTGATTCTTGAATAATTTAATTCAACTAAAATCTCTAGGGTTGCCACAAAAGCCAAGCTTACTTCTGCTGCTCTGAGAGCTGAAACTCCTGCTGGACCCTCTGGATGAGTTTTGGGGTCTCGGGCAAACAGAAGCCAGCTGAGATCTGCACCAGCTCCACCGCATGATTCACTTCACCACTCTCCGTTACACACGTCAAGAACTTGTTCAGCAGCTCCTCACTGACAGAACAACACATCAGTGTGAACACTCAGACTATTAAAACACAAAGGCCTGGTTTCATAGACAGGGTTTAAACTAAGCCAGGATTAGGCCATAGTTCAATTAGGATATTTAAGTAATTTTTATAAATGTGCCTTAAAAAAAACATTACTGGTCTGCATTTTGAGACAAAATAAAGGCACTCTGATATATCTTAAGATCAATAAGTGCAAGTTTCTTTCAGTTCAAACAGCTCAGACTTAGATTTTAGTCTGGGATTAGGCTTAAACCTTGTCTGTGAAACTGGGGGGTAATATAATATAAAATTCATTTAGATTCTTTGTTTCAACATTACATTTAAACCCTAAAATATTGACATTTTTTACAGTTTAGTCATTTTTCTATCTATGTTCAACTGTAAAACACTAAAGAGCCGAGGGAAACCGCCAGTCAAAATTTGAGACCCCTGATCGTACCTTGGAACTCTGTTGTGTGTTTTGAAGAGTTTCAGTATTTCCCTGAATTAAAGGAAGAGAAAGAAATTCTGTGAGGTGCTTTAACTCAGTTTGATCTGGATCACATTACAGATGTCCATTAAGGATGTTACCAGGCGTCCTGCCTCCTCTGAGCTGCTAGTAAAACAGAGATGACGTCGCTGAGAGAAGTGGCCGTCCAGCTCATTATAACCTTGCCCCGGTCACCTGTGTCATACATTTTCTTGATGTCCAGCGCACACTCAGCAAATGACTCCTGCACCTGTCCAGAGAATATATACATGTGCATTACAAACCAGCACCATTATGACAGACTGACATAGAAATTGGCTTTATAATCCACTGGCAAGGCAACTGAAAAGAAAGTGAAACAAGGGAGGAAGACTTGTAGAAGGCATGAGTATTAACCAGTATAGATGTAGATTAGGTAGAGGCAATACCTCCTGATCTTGCTTCTCTCTTGCCATAAGTGTCAGCAGATCTTCCACCAGCTTCTGTCTGTTGGCATGGCCCAACTGTTTGATATCTGTGGAGAAGGAGTTGATAATACTTTAAGTATTGATACTACTAAATCTAGTACACAAAACTAAAAGCCATTTAGTGTGTTTTAAGCCATTTGGTTAATAAGGACACCATGTTTATGTTGTATAATACCCATGTTATATACATTTGTGCACTCATAAACCATATATCCCAGAACACACAAAAACACATTCCAGAAATTTCATTTTTGGGTGAAATATTTCATAGGCACTCTTATTTTGAACTAAAT